AGCTCATCGCTGTTTCTCCTTTTCTTCAGCATTTATGTAGCTTCACTAGGTAACTGAATCAGTCATTTGGCAAAATGGATGTGCGCTGGAAACATCTTTGGACATCGATCGTTTGCGGCCCTACGGGTTGTGGGAAAACGATATTCGTAAAGACTTTTCTTCGCTATTTACCTGCGATGGCGGATACACGTTTCGACAGGATCCTATTTTATTATGCCGAGTGGAAGGAAGCTTACCGCCAACTACAGCATGAAGTGGCGAAATCGGGACGATGCGTGATAGAATTTCGAGAAGGCTTACCGCGCCTGGATGATTATTCAAACGATCTGCTTGTCGCGAAAATGGTGATCATAGACGATCTCATGAGAGAATCGTCATCGTGCGAAGTAATCGTCGATCTGTTTACGAAGGGTAGTCATCACAAAAACCTCAGTGTTATATTCATTGCGCAAAATCTATTTCATCAAGGACGTGGACAACGAGATATTTCTCTCAACGCGAATTACATCGTGGTGTTCAAAAACCCTCGCGATCGTGCTCAGATTCGTCACTTGGCCAGGCAGGTGTCTGGAAGATTCAAAGTTTTTGGAAGAAGCTTACTATGACGCTACATCGTTTCCACATGGGTATTTGTTGCTTAATCTGAAACAATCTACCCCGGATGAGTATCGGAGATTCGTACATGCATCTTCCCCACTGATACTACGCATTATGTTTACGTTCGGCGTGGATCCACCAGAAGTTACGTATAAAACCCATGCATACGATCATTCTGCGACAGGTTTATCGTCGTAATGGCGGTGAGTGGGGAGAGCAGAGCGAATACAAAAAAAAGGCGATAGAACCGCAAACGCAGCAAAACGGTCCATCGGTGAGAAAAACATCTCTCTTCTGAAGGCGTTGTGTTACTTGATGGAGAAACAACGTGTTGCCTTTCTGCGAGAAGCTGACCGTGATTTCATCAGATTTGCGAGTGCGCCTTCAACATGCTCAAAGAAACGTACCGCTCGACAGAAGAGAAAAAAATCGCCTATCGCGTTACAAATCAACGTTGCGTCATATCGCTAATGATCGCGGTGATTGAAGAAGCAAACGGAGAGCGATAATGCAGCGAGGGTACCTTATTTGATCGTCCCTATACTCGGGGCTATATTATCCAAAATTATCGGTAATTGAGACTGTTCACGCTTGAACCATAGAAAGAGCCAAGAAGATGGTACTGATTTCTACGGATAATCTCGAGAGATTGCAGCAGCAGGCCCATACATCATCAACTTCAGCGTCGTCGTCGTTGTCGTCTTCCTCGACTGCGATCCCCTCTGTTTCGACAAATAATGCCGCAACTGGGCTGAACATAACACCAGTAGAGAATGAAAATACGGTGCATACTCCGGGTTCCGTCCCGTCGCGTCTCGATGCCGAGATGCATAGAATTCTCAACTCTCCGGTTCTCGGAGGAGCACGGGAAAAATGGAAATTGTATAGAGAAGTACTTCAGCGATATCTGTCTTCGAGAGCGGGAAAAACACCGATTACGCGGAAAAAAAGAAGAGAAGCTTGTTGTTGGTGAGATCGATGAAAACGGTGGGGAAGGGGAAAATACCTCTCGCGAAGATGACGATTACGCTGACGGAAACGCGGTAGAAGAAAACGCTGGTATGATTGTAAATGAAGATATTCCTAACCTAGAGACTGATATACATCGAACGTTGAATGTTTCTCAACATGTACGAGACGAAAGACGCAGTCGTCATCATCGCATCAGCGAACAGAAAAGCATCGGAAGAATACTGAATAAAGTGTCAAAAAGTTACTGGGCTAAAGCGCGCAAGTTGCTGACCCATTTGTGTGATGTGGCGGTACCCGGTCGATTAAGTTGGGACAGACAGGGAGTCGTGACTATAGATGATAGAATTCTGAGAGGATCGAATATCGTCGATCTCTTGAACGACGCGGCTCGCGAACGAAAAACTAGCAGAGCGGTAGCGAGAATACAGTTTGCACGACTTTTGCGTGAAGTGAATACTTCTCCGGAATTTGTAGGAAATCAGGAATTATTGCAGGAAGACACGGAAGAAAATGATCTTTCCGCGAGATTGAGAGAAACTCTTCCGAGAGGTAGCAGTACTCCGCTCCCGTCACCTAACGATCAACTTTGGTCTAAACGTAAGATTGCCCAGACGTCGCTTGAGGAAAAGGATGACGAGGATGGACGGCCGCTGTTTGTAACAACTAATGAGAATAGAAATAAAACGCGAATGAGCGGTGACATTTTTAAACCAGCGAATAAAAGATCCATGATAGATTGGAACCCGTTAGAATTGAGTATAGCTTCTTCAATGGCTAACAGCTATGCACATCGACTTCCACCACCGAAGGGGCGAACATGCAAGCGCGCTATCGGGGAGACGTCTCTCGCGGGAGAAGAACACAACGGGGGGCGTGTACACACAACATTTATAACTTCCGATCAATATAGGCGTAAAACGCGTGTGAGCGACAACGCATCTAAATCAGCGAATAAAAGACGTTTGATCAATTGGAACACGCTGGAATGACCGATCTCGCAAAATTCTACTACGATCCTGCACACTATGCGGGATACTCTGTGATAGAAAATCTTTCGCGAACAGCAGGACCCGGCTCCGCACGCGAAGAGATTATTCGTTGGCTTCAGTCGCAGGATGCGTACACACTTCATCGGCCGATACGACATAAATTTCCACGTTTGCATTACAACGTCACGAATATCGACGATCTGTGGGAGGTCGATTTGATCGAACTCGCTAATCTCCGAAATTACAACGAAGGCTATTGTTACTTGTTGACAATCATCGATGTGTTTAGCAAATTTTTCTGGGTGGAACCAATACGAAGCAAGTTTTCGACCAGTGTAACAGAGGCTTTTCGTCACGTACTCTCAAAAAAACGAAGGGCGGATGCCGGCGTGGTAGCAGAGTGACAAGGGTAAAGAATTCATCGGTCAAGCATTTCAAAATTTTCTGAAGGAAAAGAACATGTTTTCGCACGGTGCGAAATCCTGATGTCAAAGTAGCGGTGGTTGAACGCTTCAACAGAACGCTCAAAGAATGCTTATGGCGCTATTTTACACACAAAAATACACGTCGTTACATATGTTGTGCACATGATGTTTTGCAAGGCATCGTTCATGCTTATAACTCGACATTCCACCATTAAAATGGAACCGGCAAGCGTCACGTTGGACAACGTACGCCTTGCTCGTGAACATATGCAGTAGCGATACTATCGTCTCGATGAACTCGATCGAAGAAATCATAGTCGAGGAGCTAAATACATTAGTGTGAGTCAGTAGAGCGAAAGGAGTCTTTGAGAAAGGATATGAGGCGAACTGGACGGAAGAAATATTTCGGATTCACCGTATTCTCGAATGGCGAAATCCTCGTGTATACGAATTGAATGATCTATCAGGTGAAGTGATCGATGGGATATTCTACGAACAAGAACTGGCCCGGGTAAATAAAAATTTATAAGAAGAAGAGTTTATCGTGGATAAAGTGATACGACGCAGAGGACGAGGAGCTAATAAAGAATTATTCGTCAGCTGGCGGGGTTACCCCTCTAAATTCAATTCCTGGATACCTGCTTCGAATCTAAAGCTGCTTCCAAACTATGATGGGGAAATACCGGTTTCTCATAATTCTATCGAGCAATAATAGCATGCGATACTATCCAGAAAATACAACTACTTCATTTATTATGGAATTGCCTCAAGAAGTGAAGTTGACTGGTTTATGGGAAGTTGCGCTTACCGAAATTCCATTCCCCTTTAGTTTCTTACACGTGCATCCCGAGGAAGATGCAGAACTCAAATTCATTTCGTTACCACGTGAAAATATTAATACCAAAAGCGTCAAAAAAGATGAAGGCCAGCTATTCAAATTCGGGGTTATCCGCATAACCCCGGGGGTTTACGCTACGATGAACGAACTGTTACAGGCTTTAAACAACGCTAGCTCATTGCTCAAAACACACATTGCTTGGCACCAGGATCCTTATCATGGCGGTAAAGTAACGCCCCAGATAGCACACGGACGTCCACTGGACGTCCGTTATATGTCCATTTCTTTTACAAAAGACGTCCATAGGACGTACATTTATCACAACTTCGGACGTCCATCTGACATGAACGTCCGATGGACGTACATCGGACGTCTTACAGGTCCGATATCCAAATAAGGACATCCTTGTTACGTCCAATTTATGTCCACGGACGTAAATCGGACATACGAACATAAATTGGACGTGAAACGTACATCCATTGGATGTCTGGTGCTATCTGGGGCTGTACTGCACATGCGATATTAAAGAATGCAATAGATTTCATTTCGTGAAGTTTTCCGACAAAGTGGCTCGTATACTTGGCTTCGATATGTATAGACCGAGCGAAGAATTAATTCATCTTAACTTGTCGAAAATTATGCAGAGACGTGTGGCGTACTATCCCAATACTGATCGTAATGTGAATCCCCAGAAAGCTGGAGAAGAAAAGTTTTACGCTTTTACCACGGCAAAACGTAAACTTATGTCCGAGGAACCAGGTAGTGTGGTGCGGGGTGTACCTGATAAACTCTTTGTTTATTGCGATATTTGCGAGTCTTATATAACGGGAGACGTGCATTCTCCTTTTCTCCGAGTGGATCCCGTCGAATACAACGATGGTAAATATGCTTACGGACGTAACATGGTAAAGCATTTTTCGCCACCGAATTATATTCCATTGCGATTAACATGTTTCCGCACGATCGAAATAGATATAAGAGTTCAGGTTGGCGAAAGAATATCATTTGAATTTGGGACGTTGACAGTTACATTACAATTTAGGGTGTGTTCACGGAGCTCGCTCAGCGCTATTTAGCGCTACAGGCTGTTCATGGAGCTAGGTAGTAGCGCTAACAAACGCTGTTGTGACGTCACTAATGGTAGCGTTCTACGTTATGACTGGACGCTACCAACGCTATTCCTTCCGAGGTAGTGCATTGGTAGCGTTAGTGTTTTATGCGCTTCCTGAACACTATCGGTAGTAGTAGATAGTAATATGACAGTTGTGTAAAATTTACATCGTGGTGACTAGTGGCATATAATGGATAATTACGTTGAAATAAGTTTGCATGATGCCGAGAGCGGAGAAGAATTTACAATGACATCTCCGGAAGATGCTGTTAAAGCAACAAATGGTAAGTTATGTTATGGTCGTTAAATATTTGTGTTTGCGTTTTGATCTCTTGGTTTAATGGGAATGGATTTCTTAATCGTAACATAAAAATAACTAAAATATATAAAGATAACTTAATAAGTTTCTAACTTTTATTATATAATGCACTTTTCAATTTTTAAATGTTTACTGTTTTTCTATTTGCATTTACGTTTTTTCTTATTTTTCTTATTTGCCTTTTCATCTTCCTATTTCACAAAAATATTAATTACCTATAGATATGTCATTTGCAACAACGTTATTAAATGTTGCACGTCAAGCATGTACACTAATGTACACCAAACATGCAATAACACTGATGCACGTCAATCATGCAATTACACTGGTACGTACACAACTATGCAATAATATTAGTGCATGTATTGGTACACTAATGTTAGTACATTACAATATAGATAAAGGGGCCATATTACAAAACAATTCTCCATATATGGAGAATTGTTTTGTAATATTGTTTATGGAATTGAGCTGTAGCAAAATATAACTTGACAGTATGTATATGCATGTATACATGTATATGCATGTATACATATTGTATACAGGTTTAAGAATTGAAACACAAGACAGCTATTTTATTTTTATAAGTAACTTTCTTTTAGGTATATCTGAAGATACAGTCCTATTGTCTACCTGTTCATCGAATAATGTTACCACTCTTATTACGGACAGTATGTCTGGTTTGTAATATTTCTAGGTCTTTCTTTTTGACAGTACAGTATGATCTATTTTTAATTAATGCAATGTATTATTTGTTTTGACAGATGCTGACATAGATGCAAACAAAGTTGATAACGATCTGGAGAACTTATCGGGAGACAGTAAGGAAATGTTGAACTATGATTGTATTTATTTCTTTTATCGTGAATATATTTAAATACTTTGTTTTGTTATCTAGATTTTAAGTGGTCTAATGAAGCTGTACTGCTGTTATTAGAACAATATAGACAATATGAGAAAGACATGTATTCTGGTAAAATAACACATAAGAAGACATGGGAGAAAATATCACAAGTAATGAACGAAAAGGAGTATGTAGTAACAGGCAGACAGTGCAGTACTAGGTTCAATACAATGAAACGAACATACAAAGGAGTAAAAGACCACAATAAAAAGTCCGGCAACAATAAACGAACATGGCCTTATTTTGAGGTAAGTGTATGATAGAGAAAAAAATGAATGATTACTCTCAGACCGTATCTTATATCTGAAATTGTTTATCTTTAGATGTTGTACGGATCGTTTCATTGGCTAAGAAATATCTAGAGATAAACTGAAAATTGTGTTAAATATAAACTCTGACTATACATTCCTGAAATGAATGAATGTAATATTTTATCAGATTATGGATAGTCTTCTGGAAGCAAAACCGTATATGGCCCCTTTATTTACGTTGTCACTTACTGCTGCTTCGTCAATTGCTACTGAAAATCCTGTTAGATGTAGCAGCAGTTGCTGCAACAGCTCTACCTCCTCAACTATGGATCTGGACAATAACGTTCCTCGTAATTGTTAATACTATTCAATTATTAATTAAAATAAGACTCATGTTCACAATATTGAAAATCGAATAACTTGCATTACATTCTAGTGTGGAGGATCTCTAAGTCTTTAGACAGTACAGTATAATAAATATATGTATTTCCAGATAAACGCAAGAGAAACGACGACATTGCAAGTGCAATATTGGAAAGTCGTGCGATAGCAGAGAAAGAAAAAGAAAGAAGACATAGAGAAAGAATCCAAGTTAAAGTTGTTGGAGAAGCTTGACAAAATATTAGAAAAATTATAGTTCCTTAATATTTATATTATAGTTCCTTATTATTATTACAATATTTTCTATTTTATATAAAAAGGAACATGGAAATAAAATTACTTTTCACATATACTATAGATTATGTTTATTAATTACAATTTATATTTCTTTTTACACATATCTCAGTGGAAGTCTTTCACGTACAAGATCTCTTTTTACACTACCAGCATTAGCAGCGTCATGATGCTGTTCAATATTAGCATTTTCATCAATCATTTCTTCGTTCTCATTGATTTCGATTGCAAGTTCATCACTTCTCATTAAGCAAATATTATGTAGCACGCAGCAAGCGATAATATGCTTTGGAATTAAAGTCACTGTCTTCATAGGTAGTACAGTCAGAAGACTTCTAAATCTTCCTTTCAATAGCCCAATTCCTCTTTCCACAGCTATTCTCGCTGATTCATGGCAGAAGTTGTAATTCCGTTGACGTTCTGTTAGATGTCCGTTGTCTTTATATGGTATTAATAAATTGTCATGAAGTTTATAGGCTGAATCTCCAACTAAATAGCAATCGTTTGGGAATTTTGATGCATCTCTCAAGTACAACTGAACTTCTGACAAACGAAAAACTCGTTGATCGTGCACTGATCCCACATGTCCAGCATAACAATGAGTGAATTGAGCATTATGATCACACTAAAAAATAAACATGCAAATCAATACACATACAATAAAATTTCAAAGCAAAGACATATTAGTTTATATACAATAACAATCATTTGATAAAAGTACCAAGTATATTTATACATTACATTAGTTACTGCACATAATTAACTAAGATATATTACTTTGTGTGTGTGTGTATTATAACAAATTTACGCAAATAAACACATTACCTGCAGTTGGATAGAATGATGACCTTTTCTATTAATATAAGCTTCAGGATGTGCTTAGGCTTTGTAATTGTAATGAGGCGCAGATGCACCTCGTTACTACCGACCGACCACCTGTCGGGCCGAAGAACGGTGCTTGCGCCAAAGTACCGAAACGATCGCGCCGCCGCTATCACGCGCCGCGGCGATCACGCGCTGCCGCTAGCGCGCGCGGCCGCGATCACGCGCCGTCACCGTGCCTCGCGCCGCTCGATCGCCGCCGTATCAATCGTAGCGCGATCAACTATAAAACGGCGGCGATCGAGCTTCTAGATACCAGACCGATCCGTACCGCCGATTCGATCTAGACGCTTGTATGCCGGAAGAGAGAATATCCGGACCGTTTCGCTCTGCTTTCCGTATTCCGACTACCCGACCGGCGACTAAGCAAACGGGATTGTGCGTCCGCAGTCTCGATCGAGCGTACTCGATACTTGGCCGTCTCCCGTCTTCCTGGGCTCGTGCGTGCGCGTGCTCAGTCGAGCGTACTCGACAGTCTCTCGCCTTTACCCGCCGCCTTAAGTCAGGGGTTCGTCCGTCGGCGAACTCCGCTGAGCGTACTCAGCCTTTAGGCGATCCGTCTAGCGACCAAGAACCCGGGACGGTGTGTCCGCCGTCTCCGCTGAGTGTCCGCAGCACTTGGTCGCTTTCCTCCGCGAACGTAGGGAAAAGGGAAGGTGCGTACGCCTTCTCTGTCGAGAGTCCTCGGCCCCGACGGACGAAATCATTTCGCGTATCCCGCGACTCGCGTGCGTGCGTTCGACCGAGAATCGAAATCTCCGATCCGGCGACCATTTATACGCGAGCGATTTCGAGACGAGTATTGGGCGATAATTGTCCGAGACGCCCAGCGTCGCGAAGCGAGACCGATCACCGCGCCGTTACCGTCGTTACCGTCTACACGCGTCGCGCAATAGGCCTCGCCTTCCGCACGGCCTATCCGTCTGTACGAGCGCTTGTACCGCTCACCGAACCGCACCGTACCATACCGACGCGTCTTATAGACGCAACCCGCGACACCGCCTTCGGGAACTCTTGTATCTCAATAAGCATACAATAAAACTAAGTTATTTCGATTGCCATTATCAAGTGTCTCGCTGCTTTACTCCTCCTCGAATCCGGACTCCGACGAGCAGTATCCGCGCGAAACGCGTAGCAGCGACCGAACTGCGGAGTTCGGCCGTTACATAATATTTATGTGCGTACCATCAATGGCGCCAATGATTTTGGGAAAATCACTGGTGACTTCAAAACATAACCAAGTTTGATGAACTCGTTCGTCTGTAGGCCATTTTATTATAAAAGGTGCCAGTGCAATTAAAGCATTTATAATACGTCTTGTAATAATAAGTGCTGTACTTCTGCCAACATTAAATCTTTCGCAAATGGATCTAAATATTCAGAAATGAAAATATTACAAATTATTTCATTCAAGATATTACAATAACTGCATTATATTAATATAATGTAATGTACCTTAGTGAATCTGGAGTGGCCAGTCTCCATAATGCCAATAAAAATTGTTTGCGAAGACAAATCATCGGTGCTCCAATTGTCTTTCTTTGTAATTTTGGCTCAATGATTGATAGTATATAATCAAAAGTCGCACAAGACATTCTAAATCATATATATCAGTCATTTTATATTAATATCAATCCAATCACATTAATTATTTATTAACATATGTTAAGAATGGTTCTAATAATGTATATATTAACCAATGTTGTAAAAAATGAAAGAAATTTTTATTGTACAAGTTGTATTGTAATACCTAAAGTGAGCTTTGAATTGCTGATCAGTTAATGTTGGTATTGTAACTTCTACATAATTTTCTATTCTGGGCACGTGTTTACGTTTTCTCCTGTATCTTTGCACAATTTCCAGTTCTTCGTCGCTTTCAGATGAGGATGATGATGTGATTATTAACTCACGCATTATGAATGCTACAGCTGTTAATATAATATCTTTCCGATTTTCCTCTGCTTGCTCCATTTTACATACTCTCTTTACAAAATATTTTTCTGATTACCGTAACCTCGTGTACTCTTCAAGAAACGAATGTGAATTCAGGTTCAATAAATGGCTCCGGGCAGAGCTGTTACACTCTACCCCTTACGCCAGTAAAAGAAAAACAGGAACAATGCGCACACAGTCCCCACGATCAAAAAATATGCGCAGTTACAGAAACCACATCCAACTGCCACGAAAGTGAATAAAAAAGTATACCAAATATGTCATTTACTGTTTTCACTTCTGTTGCCAAGCAACAGTAATGCTACGCTACTGCTGTTCACGGAGCTCACTATCGCTGTCGCGCTATTGGCTCTGTGAACACTTTTTGGTAGCGTTAGTAGTGTGACAGTGAGCTCCGTGAACATTCCCTTAGACGTCGAGATTAGAGATAATTATTCCGTAATTAGAACACATAGATATGACACCTTATTTAGAATATTACGAAGCACACTCCGGGGGAAATCGTGGTGGCGGAATTCCACGAGTATTCGTAGGATCGCGGTATCAGAGCGGTCACGGTATCGGTAGTTTTCTCAGTGGTCTGTTCAGATGGGTGTTGCTTTATTTAGCCAGTGGTGCGCGTGTCGTTGGAAAAGAAGCTCTACGCGCAGGGATTAATATACTCGATGACGAGGGGAATAACACAGCATTGAAAGTAGCTGTTAAAACACGCCTCAAGGAATCAGGCTCAAATCTCAAAAGAAGAGCGGAAGAACACGTTAACAATCTGATGAAGGGGTCGTGTTCCGTACGGCATGAGCTGCCGTGCGGAATTTCGGTTCGCGGTTTGGCGCTGCAGGGCGGGCGGCCTGGGCACCGGGGTGTTCTCGCAAGCGGCGAGGAGGCCGGTCTCTCGCGAGCGAGCGCGTGGGGCTCCCGCCGGCGCCCCGCGACAGACGGACAGCTCCGACTGTGGCCGCTATGTGGCGCGGCCCGCGATTCCACTGCCCGCAGGCAAGATTCGGCCGCCCGGCTATATAACCGGGCGCGCCTTGCCTTGCCCTGGCTGCTGCAGTATTTCAGCTTGGCCATTCTCAGTAGCAAACTTGTGCTGCTTATTAGTGCGATTGTCGTACTGTTGGTTACCGATGCGCTTTCTAGGATTTCCTAGAGCGCGATCTGTTCTCAAGTTCGGATTCGAATCACCGCTCTACACACTCTGCTGAGTTGAAGGCGGCGCCGATACACCCTGCTGGGTTGAGGCTAATGGTTCGATCTCGTCTTCTATTCTTGTGCTCACAGCGTTGCCGTGATTTAGAAGAGACTCGACCGTCTCCCCTCGGAGTTCGAGCTCCCTTGTTTCCCAAGCGTCCGTCGGGACCTTGGCGATTTAGGAACGGGCTCGGTCGCCGTCTCTAGAGCTTCGATCCCTTTCTTCCAAGTATCCGTAAGGGAACTTGGCTTTCTCGCAGGAGCGGCTTGGTCGCCCTGCGAGCTAGAGTTCAGAGCTCATCTTCCACGTGTCCTCGGGACTGTGGCTGACTGTAGGCCGTTACGTCCGGAAGGGCAGGCCTTCCGAAACGACGGAGGTCGTTTTGTTACACGTACTTGATGTGCTCCGGGTGCCGTGCACCATTGACGTCACAGACGTGTGTGTCCTGCAGGACTTTGCGTTGGCGAACGGTTTTCGCCTTGTAAATAGCTGCGCTTATTCTCTTCTGCGTTTCTACTGCGTTCCTTCTGCATCGTTCTTCTGCGTTATTCCACTTACGTTACTACTGCGTCTATTACGTCCATTGCGTTGTACATTGCGTGTCACTTTGCGTCATCACATGCGCGTCACTCCTTTCTCTTATTTTCGCCGCCGTCTCTGGGCGCGGCGCGTCGGCGCACCGTGTTGCGCGTTTCTGCAGGGCCTGTGGCCGCCTTACGGACCCCAGCCGTCAACCAGGACGACCGGTCGGTCGTCGAGCTTACTCAAGCGACCTGGACACAGGCGGACGTTGCTCTGCGATTCAAAATCACCAGCCAGCTCTCCGGAGCTATTCTATGTTCGGTCTAGTTCCGAACAAGTCGGGATATAAAGTTCCTGCGAAAATCGGAAAAGCTCAGTTTCCTCTCAACACGCTAAGCAGATAGAGCGGTAAATTATCTTCGCGCAAACATCGGGTCAGCGCTTTTAAATCAAGTAAGAGGAAAGTGACTCGAAGAAACGCATCGGGGAAGAAACCGGGTAAGAAGCTAGCGAAGAAACCCACGAAGAAGAAGCGTTCAGTGAAAAAAAGTAGGAGAGGACTCACACAAACGTCGGGGAGTTATCAAGAAGCGTACTGTGTCAGATATTTTTTCCTAAACAACCCTACACCCTTCCTAAACAACCTAAACCCTTCTTCCTGAGGATATCTTTGAGCTCTATCACCCTAAAGCTCTTCGGCTCTCTCTCGATTGACGTCATCTATCGTCAAGCTAGCGTCATACGTCGTAGCGTCATACAATTCGTCCGGCACACACAGTTATTTGCTTCGGATCTCGCCTTCTCGTCGTCCCGTCATCCAGTCCGCAAGCTCGTCGTTACAGCACCTTCCGAATATCGTCGTCTCGTGCGTGCTCGCAACACTTAACTAATCCTCTGAGACGGCTATTTTCTCTTGCTCGTAACACGTCAGGATCCCGGCTGAGCCCCCAAATATGTAGGTTTATTGAATACTATTTATTATCTTAATAATACAAGTGGATATGTCTTCCGCACAGAGTCGAGGTTGTCGCTTCACCCACAGCTCACGAGAGCACTACTACTTTTTTTTCGGTTGTTCGCACGCACGCACTCTTCTTTGTTTACTCCCACGCTCTCTACGATATCTGCCGCGCAATGTGGGCCGTTCCAATCACTTAGTCCGCTACCCTCGGCTCTATAACCCTACAGTATTGAGAGTTCACAATGGATTCACTACAAACCCATGTCCTCTCTCACGGACGACGCGCCCGTCGAATTCGTCGTACCCAGGCATGGAGAAGAATAGATAGATCTTGCTCATACCATGCTGTCGCTACGCATACGAATAGAAACGGAAACCGGAGTAGGAGCCGCCGGCGCAAAAGTAGGCCCAATAAACCATATACTGCATTCGATGTTCAATCAAATCGACGTATATTTCAATCAAAAGCTCGTGTCTCCTCCAAACAATGCTTACGCTTACCGCGCTTATATAGAGGCGTTATTAAATTATGCTTCACCAGTAAAAACCTCCCACCTGGCTTCGTGCCTGTGGTACAGCGATACTGCAGGGAATATGGACGCTCTACCTGGAGCGACAAGCAATCACGGACTCGACAAGCGAGCCGCTTTTGTACAAGGAGGGCGAACACTAAATCTCATAGGTTATCTTCACTGCGACGTCTTCAATCAAGATAAATTCTTGATCAACGGTGTCGAAGTGCGCATGAGGCTTGTTCGTTCGAAAGATTCCTTCTGTCTTATGGAGGGAAATACTATGTCACGGATACGCATTTTAGATGCTACACTACTCATCAGAAGAGCTAGAATAAACCAAAGCATATTACTTACTCATACGAAAATGTTGACCAGGACTATTGCTAAATACCCCCTCACGAGAGTCGAGGTTAAATCATTCACGATTCATAGCGGCGTCGTAGGAGAGACACCAGACAACGTCATTCTTGGACAAATACCAAAGCGCATAATTATCGGCTTTGTCGATAACAAAGCGTTTAACGGTGTCCGGTATTTAAATCCATTCAATTTCCAGCATTATGGAATATATTTCTTTTCGTTGTATGTCGATGGTACTTAAATCCCTAGCAGGCCGTTACAACCCAAATTCTCTGGTAACGAGATGCTCTATGCCGAGACGTATCACACTCTTTTCTCAGGAACGGGCATTCACTTTTTGAACGAAACTAATTCTATATCCAGAGAAGATTATCCTGCTGGTTATACTCTTTTCGCTTTTGATCTCACTCCTGATCTGTCAGCTAATTGCGCGGGCCAATGGAACCTTGTGAAACATGGTAGTTTGCGAATGGAAGTACGATTCGAAAGAGCCCTCACAACAATGGTCAATTGCTTAGTTTACGCTGAATTTGAAAGCTTGCTGGAAATAGATTGTTCTCGTCAAGTCATTGTAGATTATAGCGGTTAAAACGAGTCCCCCACTTTTCTTTTCGACGTCATTCCCTTTCCCGTGTAAAGATTTTTAGCATCATTCTTCTCCAAAGTAAAAATCTTGAGAAAGAAACTCAGTCGGCTTCGAGACGTAAAGAGTATAGTTTCGGCAAGCAGAATTGAGAATACAGCGAGAACATGGATGTGATCATCGAAGTGCAGTGTTTCCGCAACCATACCTATGTGCTCAAGGAGGTGGCTATTGTCGGTATTAATGAGGCATTTGTCGGACATTGGATCTTAGCTCCAGAGTATTCATTTGCGGAATTGAACAAAAAATCAAGACGAATAAATAACTGGCTTTCGCTGAATTATCATGGAATCGAGTGGTACGATGGGGAAATTAATCCAAAATATTTTTATCCCCGCTTGCGCGAAATTACGAGTCATATTCGTGACTTCATGACAAAGGCAAGGAAAAAGCGAGCTACTTGCAAAATTTGTTAGCGCGAAACGTGTATAATCTGAAGAATATCTCGCTGACGGCCAGTGATCTTTCATCTAGTGAACGAATAGAAGGCTGCTCATTTCACACATTTAGAAAACACAGATGTTGTGCATCGCGTAATGCACAATGATTGTGCATTACGCGATGCATACAAATTGAAACACTGGTTCATCGAACAAAGTCAAATCAACATCAGGAAACGCGGCAACATCTATTTGACCCGGTGCTTGTCTTCCAAAATTGATGAGGAAAATAGAGAAAATAGTTATTCCGACAAATCAGGGAGCGAACAGTCACCGGTTGAAGAAGAGGGAAACGAGATAAATACTGACAAGTAACACTAGAGAAGTGCCATACGGCGATTTTCCTGAAACTTGGCATACAAGTAGTACATGGAAAACTATTGGACATGTATATTGTTATATCGGCTCGAAAGCCGTTTGAAGGGTAGAAATCACCCTTATCGATTTTGGAGGTAAGTTCGACTATTTTACGAATTATTTTTACGATTGTTGCGAAATCAGGTAACTAAGGGTTTTTGGGGTCGCTGATAACAAATCTGAAGTCGGATTTTAAGAATTCAAAATGGCGGATCCAATATGGCGGTCGCATTTTTTCAAAATGGTTCAATTTTTATGACAATTGGTATCTAGGGGTTTTCGGGGACCCTGAATACAAATCTAAAGATCGTTTTCAAAAATTCAAAATGGCGGATCCAATATCGCAGATGAATTTCTAAACAATTGTTGAATTTTCATGAAACTTGGTATCTAGAGGTTTTTGGAATGGATTTCGATGTCAGTTTTTGATAATTCTCCATGGCGGATACAATATGACCGACTTGATTTTTAACAAACCAAGAATGCAGGATAAAAATTTTCTCACTCTTTGTCGAGCCCAGGAATAACCAATGTGGAGGTGGTAAGAAATTATTTCCTTTTTTTTTAGTTAATTAAATTCTATTATTTAATTATAATAATTAATTTTTTTAAATTGATTTCTTTTCGTTTATATACAGTTATTTATAACGCAACCTCCATACAAATTAACATTTTTTCCTATATATAAATTGTAAATGTTTTAACGCTCGCACTTAAATTTAAAAACAAATAAAAAAACATTCCATAGGGTAGGATTCGAACCTGAGTCGCTTGTACGATACGCAGGCACCTTATCCACTATACCACACTCGTCTCTCGTAGATCTTACCTCCAAAATCGATAAGGGTGATTTCTACCCTTCAAACGGCTTTCGGGCCGATATAACAATATACATGTCCAATAGTTTTCCATGTACTACTTGTATGCCAAGTTTTAGATAAATCGCCGTATGGCATTTCTCTAGTGTTACTTGTGAGTTGGAACATTCCGTCGAAGACTATAACAATCGCGTTACCAGAGGTAAACGAAATTATATAAAATGAATTCGCTCGAAATTCAACATGCGTTGCAACATCTCAATGCTAGATACACAGGCGTCCATCCAGCCGATAGACTACCGAGGGTGTGGACGAGGTCGACGGTAGTAGTCGCTAATACGGACAATCATGATCGTCCGGGACAGCACTGGGTCGCATTCTACGTCGATCGGAATGGAGCGGCCACATACTTCGACAGCTACGGGATGCCACCCTGGAACTCACGATTTCTCCTGCGTCTTAGAAGAAATTCCATCACTTACCAATGGAATACCTTTCAGCTACAGGGACTCTTATCGATGACTTGTGGTCATTATCGCTGTGTTTTTCTTTACTTTATGTGTCGGGGTTATAACCTCGGGCAGTTTAACAGTTTGTTTACCAATGACTGCGAACGAAACGATCAGTTGATTGTACGAATATATTAGGTGTAGTAAAAAGGAATCCATCATTTTTGCATGAAATTGAAGGCTTTAATTACCATAGTTAGGATGATCTGATTTAGGTCAAATATGCGCCGTTTTGTTCGATAACTTGTTGCCATTTTGAAGGTAATTTCATTATGCCTCTCTCATAGAAGCCCCTCGTCCCTATTGGCAAAAAATTAAGACAGTCGATTTTCACAAGCCTCTCTTGAAGCGAATTTTTCACCAGAAAAATTGTTCGCCATGGACAGGAACAGATGGTAATCACTTGGTGCCAGGTCCGGACTATAAGGTGGATGCATAAGACCTCCCAATCAAGCTCCCGGAGCTTCTGGCGAGTCACTATCGATGTGTGTGGCCTGGCATTGTCCTGATGGAACACAATTCCTCTCCTATTGGCCAAAGCTGGCCGCTTCTGGGCGATTGCTTCCTTCAGACGGTCCAATTGTTGACAGTACAGTTCCGAGTTAAGAGTTTTGCCGTAGGGGAGCAGCTCATAGTAGATAATTCCCTGCCAATCCCTCCAAACACACAGCAAAACCTTCCTGGCCGTCAATCTTGGCTTGGCCACCGTTTCCGCCGGCTCACCGCGATTCGACCACGACCGTTTTCGCTTGACGTTGTCGTAAGTGATCCACTTTTCATCACCAGTGACCAACCGCTTCAGAAATGGGTCGATTTTGTTGCGATTCAGCAGCGATTCGCAGATGGAAATTCGGTCCATGAGGTTTTTTGCGTTAACTCATGTGGTACCCATACATCGAGCTTCTTTTTGTATCCAGCCTTATTTAAATGGTTCCAAACGGTTTTTTGTGCAATCTTTAGCTCTTGGGCAATCGAAACAGTGCTTACATGATGGTCGGACTCGACAATGTCCATGATTTTATCGATATTTTCGACAATTGGCCTTCCAGTGCGTGGTGCATCTTTGACATCGAAATTACCGGAACGGAATCGACGAAACCAAAATTGCGCGTGATTGGCTGTTACATTATCAGGACCATAAACACTATTCACATTTTCAGCCGCCTGGCTTGCGTTTTCGCCTTTATCGAAGAAAAACTGTAAAATATAGCGTATTTTCTCTTTGCTAGTGTCCATCTTTGACGCGCGCTCAAACAAAACTGAGTCAACTAATCACAAAACTGTCAGAAAGGTTTTTTTAGTACGAAATCTGTGGAGACTTTGAGCTCCCCAAAAGCGCACGCATCCGTTTTCCGTGCGGCGCTATAGAGCGCGCGCAAGTGTCACTCGTGCGGGAAAAAAGACCAACGAGCAGTAACCGTTGGAAGCGCACACAGAGCTCACGAATATACGATCGCTAGTTCATAGTTAGTCACTCTTTCTTTGTCGTGTGTGACACCGCGATTTCTGCACGCGGTCGCGATTGTGCGAGAGCGGGCAGGCAGGAGCATCGGCTCCGTTCGACACAAACACATATACATATGAGTCCCGCTGTGGCTCATATGTCGTGCGAGCGCAGAGAACTATTTTCTTATTGTAAACGAATAAGTTGTGACTCACCTGTGACTCACGTGCTCTGCAGCTGGCAGGCACGTGCGCAATAAAGGGACCAAAGAAGAACACGCCTAGGTTAATTTAGGAACCTACCCTCCACTTGCATCGGCGAGAGAGCAAGAGGACACAAAAACCCTAAAAATCTCATCTTTCTAACGCCATCTAGTGGAACCCGATCGGACTTATACAACGCGAGATACAGATAACTAAAGCCATCTATTGGAAAAATAATTGATTTCTTTTTACTACACCTGATATAAGAAAATCTTTTGTCAATGTAAGCGTAAATCGCTAGATCATCATATCCCTGTGTACCAGGTTCAATCCTGTATTAAGAAAAATGTATAAGAATAAAATGTGAATGAATTCTTTGAAAAATATTGTGCATTCCTTTCTCTTCGCCTCTTCTCTCTTCCCTGATTTCCAGTTCGAGGTAACAAATCCCATTGTAAACTTTTCGAGTTCGAAAGCGAGAGTCCCGTATAGGTAAAAATATTCGGGATAGACATAGACCAGAGGTATCGTCTTCCAACAATCGCCGGGTAGTTTTTGTCTTTGAAATGATCCCTACCTGCTCGAACATGCTCGCACACGCTCACGAGAGTCAAGAGCCGGGGTTTCATGGTGGGGTCTTGAGTCCCGTAGATTCTAGAATTGGTCAAATTTTTCACGCGTGACGTCGATACTCTTCGTATGTATATAATATAGCCACTTTCCATCAGGGTATAGCAGTAGCGCAGGGCATAAGGCGCTTGACTCGAGAGCCAGCGGACCCAGGTTCGAGAATCCGGTCAGGGCCTACAGGGTTTTTCCAGAGACTTCACACTAACCGCATACATACACACACACACACACACACACACACACACGCCGCACTCTCTCCGTTCTACGTGTACGTCCTGAAACCAGTCTCTACCAAAGAGTAGCAGTAGAGTAGTAGTGGTAAGACGTTTGACTCGAGAGCTGTGAGGTCCCGGGTTCGAGCCTCACAGAGTGCCAAGGAGATTTTTCTAAAAGTAATATGCAAATTAACCAGCTGACCAAGAACTAGAATCACTAACAACGCCTAATATGAATAATAAAAATTTGATATTTAGATTACGCTAATTTTTATTCCGGTGATTCAAATTTCCGCCATTTTCAGCCTTAGGGGTAGGTATGGCCGCCGG